ATGTAATCACTCATATAGCGACTCTGCAAAATAAGGCGCCTTATATGGTAAGTGGTCGAAAAGTACGATCCTAGTCATTTTCAATAGTATTCGCCCATGGGCTAAAACACTTTGGCACACCTAGTTCCATTAAAATATCTCAAATATTGTGACTTGACCTATAGGTTCAATATAAAAATACAAGATGGACGGCCGGACAGACAGACAGACAGATGAGCTTAAATCGCTTCAGGAAGTGTTTCTGAATTTTTTGTCTAATCGTTTTTGGGGCGTCTTCAGTGCATGTGAATGTACAGAGGATAATAGATTGTCCTAGAGATGATCGGGACGCTAAAGGGAAATCCGTTGGTGTAGCGTGGTGAGACGGTAAGAACGATACCAAAGTAGAGTGGACCCATTAAAGAATTTAATTGGGGAGCAAATGTTTTTTATCTATATTGATTGCTTGTCTTGAAGGCACTTTTGACAACGAGCAACATCTTTAACATTCCAACCAACTTGATGGCTCTTATATGATGATATTGTATTATATAGGTTCGTCCATTTCGGGTGCCATATTTGGCAGCCCTGTTTCAATAACATATGTAAAACAGAATTATCATTCAGGGTATCGTGTATTTAGTGCGATGTTTGGCATTTTACAAAATGGACTGTTTAACAACCGCTGAACGTGTTAAAACAGTGAAAACTTACTATAAAAATCTTGATTCTGTACTATGTACGTTTCGTGCATTTTTCTTCAAGAACGACCCGTTTTTTGAGTGGCGTTTACGTCAACGAGCAAAATTATCGCATCTGCAAAAAATCATTGCACGGTATGGCATTTGGTTTGGTCAATGCGTCAACTCTGATCGCTACAGCCACATGATTACCGATTCCTTTCGACCTAAACTTGAAGATGTGGATATTGGAACTATATGGTTGCAATAGGACGGTGCCACAAGCCGCACAAAAAGGTTTCCCCGGGCGTGTAATTTCATGTTTTGGTGATGTGAACTAACCACAAAAAGACCGTGCGACTTCTCACAGCTGGAGTCTCTTTTTTTTTGTCGAGTTACGCAAAGGATCGAGTTTATGCATATAATTCTAAAACTCTTCACGCTTTGAATACGAATGTCTATCAAGTCTCGGCCGAATTATGAATAATTGCCCCTATTTGCAAACAAGTTATCGCAGGTTACCTATAAGATATCCTGTAGAGAAAATTTGAATGATGTTGTATTCCACAGATATTGGAAAAGTCCAAAGGATATATTGAAAAAAAAATTTAATCCAAATCTTAATCCGAAGTGTGCTTTGTTTATGTTTACTGTCGCAACAACAAAATGGGTGGAATTCAAGGGAAGTCTAAATGAAAGGGCTTATGCGAGGAGGATGCTTTTATTTAAAATCGGATATGGGCATATGAAAAAAAATATAAAAGATAGAAGAAGCATTGTAAGATAACGTAAGTCGTGTCAGACATTGAATAAATTCGTTAAAATTTTTTTTTTAATTTTTCTTGGATTCGATGTGGTGCTGTATTCTAGTGATCGTAAAAAATATTTAATCCAATTAAAGATGAGATCTTAGAACGTCATCTTATCTAGGAAAAAATTGTGAACGATAGGAGAGAACAGTTTCTGGCAAAACTGATACAATTTGCTGTTTATGCAAAGTAGAGGAAACAAAAACACGATGACTTTCTGAAACGTTCAGTGGAGCAAATATTTTTATAATCATTTCATTAAATATGAGCAAAGTGAAACGGGAAGAAGATGAGAAAAAGATATTATTTCTGTCATTATTGTAAAAGTGCATAAAACATATCCATGCGTACGTGCAACAAACGAAGAAAAATATGAACAGATGTTGAAATTTAAATATATGCAGCTGGTCTGTGAGTGTGTTTGGAGAACTTGTAGTTAAAAGAATAACCAAAGGAAGTATGTAATTTTATATTTTCAGCACTTGAACCATAAAATTTAATCAATGAGGGTTTACTTGCAACAACAATCTTCAAAGTTCAAAGAACATTGTAATGCTTTCAGGTCGGATATTAATAACAAAACGAATTTACCCAAAAATCATTTCCCGTAAGTCACTATAAGCATGCGTAGCAATTTTGCTTGGACAAATTTGCCATTGCTTTCGTCATTTTGGCGATATGGAGTCAATGGATAGCATTTGATAACAAATATATTAAGGGTTTGCAAAAATTATGATCATTTTGTGACTTGAAAAAGGCATTTATTGAGAAAAATTGGTTCTGTGTATATTATTTTGGTCAACATGGCGATATCATGTCGAAAGAACTTATCTTGGTTTGCCAACCATCCAGCCATCGATCCTTTTTCGCATTACTTCAACTTTGCGCACTCGCATCCGCCAGCTAAGCATTCGAAATCTTTGCAGTGAAATAGATTATACAATGATCTTGTCTATGCCATAACGGAAAATTATACCTAGAATTCCGACGGGCACGTCCACTATCCGTAACTATAATATAAAAAACTCGAAGAAAGATCCAGGTTGTCTACTTTTTTCGTCCGTTGGTTTAAGGCTATGATCACATTTTTAACAAAAAGTGAAATTTTAGATGATTGGAAAAATTTTGGTCAGTGACTTCTACATATAAACATGATAAAGAAATAGGAAATACCAGTGTAGATAACCGTTGAGTTCGATGGTTTTGACCTTCCTCTACCTAAAACAACAGTTTCCCGTTTAATATAATTGATTTAGTCAGCGCACGCCGACGCTATTCATGGAACGCTTAACATTCTTCTACTTCCAAATTCATTACTTTTGTTGCTTAGTTGAAGAAACTAGCTGCCGAAGCCCACGAAACACGTTCGCAGGGTTATGATGATGCGGCTTCGTCATATTCTAATCGCTGGTTTTGGGTTCAACGGTTTAAAAGTGGTGACACAAATTGACTGAAAATACAATTTTTTGGGCAAGAGTTATCAAAGATACACCGTTGCAGCTCGACCCACCCCCTGCTTACTCACTAGACATGACGCCTCCTGTTTGCAACATATTCAGATCCGTGCAGCATCGCTTGGCTGGCACGCGTGATTCGCAAAATTGAAGAAATGCGAAAATTGCTCGGTTGGTGGATCGCTGCCAAACCAATATAGTTTCTTTCGACCTGATAACGTCCCGTAGGCGAAAATATTGGAAAATGTTGTAAAGAATGATGGAAACTATTTCAATTAATATATATTGTACCAATTTGGCACAACAAAACTTCCAGTAAAAAAGTGATCAATATTTTTGCAAACACCTAATAAGTCAAATAGAGAGAGAGAGGCAGTCTTTACGTTCATCAGTTGACCCAGATCTGATGATGGACAATTTGAAAATGTACACGCAAAAAGCATGTGATGGAAAATTCGATTGAATTTTTTTTTTAAATTTATATATTAAAATATTTCAATAGCAATTAAAGCGAAGCCATTGGAAATATAAAGAATGTTAAAGAGTTCACTACCTAAGCACAGGTAACATTTTGAAGCTAGGAAAGAGAAGGATATCTCACACACCCTGATAACATGATAGTTCAGATTATTGCTTTTAATTTGGTCGGAAGCGTCAGTCTTTCCGCATATATGCCAAGATTCCGTTCATATCTCCGTTTATTTCAGCGAAGATTTTTCAACGAGCCAATCGAGAATTTTTACACAAAATTCCTATATAAATATTCATAAGAAGTTTCAATCGATTCACATGGAGAATTAATTAATTAGAACAACGACATAGAAACGTTAATTGACTGTATAGTTAATGAGATCCGTGACGCATATTTCTGACTGAAGCGTTAATTTATTAACGGACTTGATGTGCTGATGGTATGCAAAAAAAAAAGAATTTCATACATGGTCAAGAAAAACAAATTATTCGCTATGACGTTAGATTCGGAATTTTCTGCAAACATCTACTAACGCTTTATAGAAATTTTAGGTGAATATGATTGTCATTGACTTTGAATATAACGTATTTTCCGTACAAAACTCGTACTAGCAATATTCAGTTCATCTTTACTCTCGGTATTGTCACTTGTATCGTTAATGTGGCCGTTCGTATTACGCGTTTTTCGGGTTGTAAGACGTACCTCAAATTTAAAGACGATTTATTGAAAAAATACTTTAATGTTATTTTTGGACCATAAAACGCAGCCAAATTTGAGTCCATTTTTCTATGCGTGAAGGTGCGTGTAAACTTTGTTGAAGAAGGGTGAAGAGTGTATAAGACTCATCTCAAAGCGGATGTATTGTTTTAATTTCAATTATTATTTATTACGTTGTAGCGGTATAAGTTATTTTGAAAGTACGTTCGGATTGTATATACATACATACGGCCACTTATTATCTATAATAGTAAATAATTGTTAATAATAACGCTAATAATGTTGATGGCGTGCAATTAAGTCAGCAAGATTGTTATAGATACAAACATTTTTTGGTTGAAAATGCAGAAAAAATGAAAACACTTCAAAGCATACTTTGGTTGAAAATGCAGAAAAAATGAAAACACTTCAAAGCGTACTGTAGGTTATAGTAAAAGTTACTAAGAGATTTGTTGAATTATTCATTCGGATTCATGTGTATGATAATCTTCTTAACAATTCCATTGTCAGGGGAGAAAAGGCTTCATTAACAAAGTACACAAGCCAAGGATTGCCTGAAGCGTCAGATAATGAAAACTTTTTTAAAAAGCTCTTTACAAATGCTTTGATTATGTTCGAAGAAATCCACATAAAAAATCTACTAACATTCCGGCCATTGCATAGGTTTGCCAAAAAAGGTGCACAACATGCATAATATGTCGAGGGTGGAAACATTTCACTTGTTTATAGCAGTTTAAAAATGAACAGATGATTATGTTTACAAAAGCATTTATACAAAACGCTACCGAAAGCCAGAAAACTATTTATCTCTCGAGGGAGAAATTCCTATCGCCATGGGATATTAAACATAAATCTGTGAAAAAAATTAAAATATATTTGTTTAACTTACCTCGAAAAATTTGTATTGGAAGATTCTCTGACAGCTGTCGCGCATCCAATAAATTTGCGTGAGCGAGAAAGCAATCAAGATATTAAATTCGATTAATTGCCAAAAACAAAACTGGTTTTATTTCTTCTTGAGTTATGCTTTTTGGAGGCAGCTGCTACAGCAAGAATTTTGCAAGTGGGTGAATCCAGCCAGCAGAGCTTAAGGTGGCGTCGATGCGCAACATTGACCAACAGCTACCACGCCACCACCACCACCACCGCAGACACTCTACTAGGCCAAAGCAACTAGTTTTACTTATAGCTGTTTTGATTAGCTGTTTTAAATGTGTGTGCGTTGTATACAATGATGCAACGAGATACTTTTAATGATGTCTCCTCAGTTTGGCTCTGACTAAGGGAAAATCCAGTTTTCTTTTAAAGCGGTTATAAAATATTTATTATTCATATGTGGCGCATAAAAAATTTTCACTTTTTTATGCGTTAGAAAGCAAAAATATATTATTTAGTTGTTGTAGCTATTTTTATATTGTTTTATGGTATTGTCAAGCACCTTCGAGCACAGTCATAAACACAAAGAGTAGCACCGTAAATGTGATAAATTTCCATTTGTATTTGCGAATCCAACAGTATGCAGCGCAATAACAATAAATACTAAAATTTTTCTCCAATTTCAGACTATAAACAACAAATTCAATGCAATGAGTTGCGATTACACGCTTTTAATCAGGTAGCAGTAAAGCAGACGCTTTTTTTTAGAATTCTTTTAATATTTTGCTTTGTAAGTTAATCGGTTATATATTTTTATGGTTGTTGTTGCTATTTTTGTTTTAAAAACGATATTCTAATAAAATTTGCTAAATTCCTATTGTAAATTTGTATTATTTTTATTTTCATCTATTTACTCATTTTCTTCCGTTCTGATCAAAAAGTTTGAAAGTATTTTGATGTTTGCCCGAATTTACACCGGTTATAGTCATCACCATGCAATGCAGCCAAGTTTAATCAAAACAAAAAAAAATTCAGAAAAAAAAAACAAATAAGTGACAACTAACTCTGTTTAATCCGTAAACCGAGTACTTAACAGCAACAATAAAAACGGGTTGTTTTCATTTTTAATCACCTCACTAAAATTCTTTGTTATTGGCTGTCTCGTCACTGCTGCTTTTATAATTAATTTCATTACCATCGCAACTTGCTTTACGTATACGCGACGCGATACGTCCTTATCAAATCCAAATCAAATTTCAAATAAAAAAAAAAGTAGAAAATGTTTTTATTCATATAAGCAATTTTTCAAAAGTGGTGATTCTCTCTTTCACCGCTTACTGCTCTCTTTGTTTTTCAAATGCGAGTAAAACAAAGTAAATTTTACTCTCAGACGTTGAGTTTTATTCTCAACATCCATAGGCATTTATAAGAAATGCACAGCAAAGTAAAATTTACTCTCAGAAATGTAGAAATATGATTTTATTACTCTCAGTACTTTTTTAGAAATGCAGCAAAGTATATTTTACTCTCAGAAATACAATTTTATTATTCTCTACAATAAAGTAAATTGAACTCTCACAAATTTCATAAAATGAAAGTGCAGCCAAACTTGTGGTCAGGCATATGGTTGCCAAGTTACTATATACATAAATACATAAATATGTAGGTATTAATTTGTAGGTACATTTATATCACATACCAAAAGATTTCGAAGCAAGGTAATCAATTTAAGAATTTATAGTTTTAGTTTGAAACAAATGTAATAGCGATTAGAAAATGAATTTCTTTTAATTAAAGAAAAAATGGTGACACCATAAAAAGCAACTCAATACGGCATTGCCATAAGAAAAGAAATTGAAATTGTTGCTAATGCAAAATTTGCTTTTTTAGATTACATTTCTTAATATATCATTTCTACTGGGTGCAGAGATCGTTAACATGCATTTTGATCGTGCTGTAAGTATTATAAAAAACAATTTTTAATTCTTATTTTCTAAATTTGTACTCGCAAAACCCGAGATGGTAAGAACGTCAAATTCAAAACATTTTGCTTTATCTGCGATTATTAAAACACTGTAACGGAAATTTCAAAAATAGAGATGTTAAAAAGAATTTAAAATATACCGAATTTTAATAAAAAAAAATGCATGATAATGATACAGTTTAGTCTTTCTGCTTGCTACGATGAGGAGCAAACAAATGCAAACAGATGATGAATGCAGCTGCTATATTTTGATGATGCACTCGTAGCTTCTGCTGATTACGATGAAGAACAAAGGAGTGTGGGGCGAGTACAAGTGCTTTACTTGAAATATAATATATAATCTTTTTTATATAAATGTATCAAAAATATAAATTCATCTCCCCTTGTACGTCTCTTGGATAGTTTTATAGAATTTTTATAGGTACCTAAGTACCTCAAAACGTAAGTATTGACTTTATTTCGCTGTTGTCGAGCCTTTTGTAAGAATAGGTATATACAGCCACCTCTTTGTTACTCCAATTTAAAAGAACACGGTTGACGAATAAGAACAAATACATTTTTACACAAATTTTCTATTCTAGCACGAATTTCAAATAAAATTTTTTTTTAATTGCAATTTTGTCAGTCTTACGGAAACTTATTTATACAGTCACAAAATACAATTGACGCAATACCGTGATCAAAAGTTGGTCGGTTTATGCCCAGGCGTCAATAACAGGATTTACAAAAACAAAAAGAAGAGCAGAGGTTGTTAATAACGAAATACTAGACGTATTTGACATATCTACTAATGGTAGCATATATTTGGTCCGCGTGCACGCTTGTTATCATATAGCGATCAATATTTTTATTTCTACTTTCAATTTAAATCCTTTTATGTTGGAGTTGTGGGCGGGATTTTCACTCTACACTAATTTTAATAGAATTTGTAATATAATGTTCATTATTACTTTTTTTAGGCGCTTTTTCGGGAAGTATTTCTGGAGTTTTTCTATTTTACACATGATGCGTGTTTTTTTTACACGATTGTTTACACGGCTTTCTAAGGAAAGTATCTGCTTGCAGGAAGAGACGGAGTGGTTAGCATTAAACTGGAGCCAATATTTAAATTTTCGATTTGCTGCGCTACAATAAATAAAACGATAATATACATAATAGCGAGAAGAAAGGAAGAAAAGATGTGGACCGAATTAAAAGGGAAAAAGAGCCAAGTTATGTCTATTTAATTATCTACTCGATATAACTTGAAACTCATCTATGTAAAATCATTCATTTTGGCATGACTGATATACTCACCACACAACGTTTTCTTTTTATCATTGTTAATACAATTGAATAAAAAAATAACGCGGTCCATTAATTAATAGAGTAAGAGATATTTTTTTCATATTATTATATTTCATATAGGAGGAGGAGGAGGAGGAAGTTTCCCGATCGTTGCGAGTTGATAGAGCTGATGCCGGTGCAAAAACTGAAAACACTTTTGTGCTAATATGCGTGCCAGATTCACCTTGATTTTAAACACATGTTCAAAAAACAAAAGAGCAAACTAACTTCCAACCCATATCAGATTGATTCTGTTTTGACAAAACAATTTTTACGTTAATTTAAGATCACGACCGTAACCATTTGTGTTTTTGTTTTCATAACGTTATCGATATGTCTGTATACTCGCATATGGAAAAAGTGTAAAATTTCACAGATTAAATAAAACGTTCACTGATTCTTAGTGTATGAAAGAAAACTTAAATATTTTCTTCTAAAATTTTTCCATTCATTGTCATGGTATAATTTAGAATTTATTTGTTTCACTTATAAAATTAACTTATGAAAGTTTGTTTATATTCTGTTCTATATTTAAAATACTTTAAAAAAAAAAGTATATTTACGATTATGAGCCTAATATATTTCACTTAGCATATCAAATAATAGAATTAAATATAACACTAACCGAATATGTTATCATATATTCGATACCAGAATCCATTGCGACGAAACATAGCTTCAATTTTCAGTTCATTTATGTGATATTTATAGATTTGTAAATTATTACCATCTAAAGGGCCCCAATCACATTTCGGTTTAAAAGCTGTTTTCACACGATCCCAAAAACAATCGCCGGGACTTCTTAGAATAGCATAGACTGCCCAGAAGAGCAATTGTCCAATGCCAAAGGCAGATATGCACCAACCGAAAACTTGGGGAAAAGAATTATTAAAGTCATTTGAAATTGTTTACAAATTTTTGATAAAACTTACTATATAAACCGGTCTGATAAAAATAGCCGTTATATTGCAGAGGTTCATATTGAACTAACGTGTAAATAAGTATAGCAGCCATTAAAGCAGGAGTTATAAGTCCCCAACAAAGGCGATAATACCAAGAGGTTTGAATGCCTAACATAAAATGTATATCTTGGCATAAACGTTTAACTCCTATTATAAAAGTGAACAAGAGAAAATATAGTTGTACGGGGATCGGTTTGATAAGAATTTTTCAAGCACTTGCCATAAATCCAGCCCACGGCTAAAAGTTCAAAAATCGCTAAAACCAAGGCGACAAATGAAGCACCATAAAAATCCAATAAATTCAAAATAAATTGTCCGCCCGGCGTTATATAGACTAAACCCCAACAGTAGCAGGTGACAGCTATGCAAACCACTATAATCCAATGTTTGGTATGGATGAAACGATCTTTGATTACCGTCATTAGACAAGAGGCCATGCCCACATTGCTGCCGATACCCAAAACGAATAACATCAGAAAAAATAAAACTGAAAAAATCTTTACATGAGATGAAGATAATTAAACAGCTTCAGTTTGCTTCATTCAATAACAAACCTGCGGAAGGAATTTAAACTTGGCAATAGCATCGGGATATGAAATAAATGCCAAGCCGGGACCACCTTTAACGACACTCTTAATGTCACTAGTTTTTGACTCATAAGCCAAGTTACCCAAAATACCGAATATTATGATACCGGAAAGTAAAGACGTAAAGGTATCCAATGTTGTTATGATCGTACAATCTCTGCAATGTAAAAATTTATTTTTACAAGGCTAAGTTCATTCGTAAGCTTAGCGTAGGAAACTTGCCTTTTAATGTTATGACTGAAGCGATTGTAAGAGGCGTACATGATTATGTTACCAAAACAAATAGCCAAAGAGAAGAAGACTTGAGTTACTGCCGCATACCATACCTGAAAACAATTTTTCAAGCGTTTTCGTATTTAAGAATTATTTTGGAAATTATTTTCGAAATAACCTTGGGATCTAGCAATTTATTCCATTGGGGTCTTAGGAAATATAAAACCCCATCAAAAGCACCCGGCAACGTTAGAGAACGCACCAATAGCACCAGCATTATGCAATAAGGAAAAACGGCCAGGAAATATGAAGCCTTACCCGAACTGCGTACACCTTTAATCATTATCAGCGATATGATTAGCCACGAGAAGGCCAAAGTTAAAGCCAAAGTCCAATTAGGATAACCGATACCGTCATCTATGCTCGACTTTTCACGCAATATAATGTTGCTAGAATTGAATAAAGCGAATTACAAGTACCATCAAGCGGTATCGCTTTGAGAAAAACTTACATGAAATAATATTCGGCTGAAGTTGTTTTAATATCAGCTGAAGATGTCGATTGTTGCTTGTGATTCAATTCGGAATCTATACACAGTTCACCCCATTCTTGGCGACAATAACTCCAAGGTAATAAGGGATAAAACGAATCAATAAAGTAACGTAAAGTTAAAGCCATTAATGTTGCGTAATAAGTAGTTACGATACCAGTGGCCAAAACTTGGCCGTAACCGACGCCTTTTAGGATACAATGTATTTTGGAAAAGCTTTATTTATTTTCTTCTTTTTCTTGAAAGCATTTCTTCTTACCTCTCATTATAGGGGAAAAATCATAAACTTTAACGCAGCCTCTGCTTGAGAATTGTCCCAATAACATTTCCATATAGTAGACCGGTTTACCGACCAGGAATAATACTATTAAATAAGGTATCACAAAAGCGCCTCCGCCATTATCCAATGCTGTGAATGGAAAGCGCCATACATTCCCTAGACCTACTGATAAAGCGATGCAGGACATGAGAAATTCAATATCATTTGTCCAGTTATCACGTTTAGGTGGCTTAAGGTCACTGGAACTAGCGAGATCGTTTGGAAGGTATTTCTGCGAAGTAAATACAATTAAGGGAGAAAAATTTCGATCAAGTAACAAGAGATGTAGGCACATTAAGGTGAATATTGATTGCCTAGAAGGCACGCAATTGTCAAATCTCTTAGTATATGCAGACGAAGGCGTTCGATGCCGTTATATCATCGTATCTTTATTAATTATGTAGTCAAACCATACCGCGACCTAGAAGATATATTGTACATTGATTGTATCGCATCTTCAGGAACCCGGTTAAGAATTTGTGTCAACTTGCACGCCGATATCTCGCAACAATATTTACTTTATAATTAATATTATTATTTTTTTAATTTGTTTACCCACTTTTCATGTAATGGAATGATGATATAACTATTAACACATAAACAGATGCATTTTCGTAGCGTTAAGATGCTCTGTGGTCTGATTTGAGAGACCTAAAGTCGACACTGGCTTGCTTACTACCATGTTTGCCTGATATAATGCAGAACGCTAACTGTAAGAGAGCAGATTTGTCATTTTTGCCTTTAAAGCTGGCCCCCCATCCTGGTCTGTACCAATGGTCCCCTTTCGCCCATATTTTTCTATGATTAAGGATAGTCCGTGCTTATGGAATGCGATGAAAATGTTTGCAAAGTTAATTTTCAGCTAATTAATTATTCTTCTTTGGAACGATGGACCATACAGTGTTTGGTTATAAAATGCTCGTCTAATTCTGCAGATAGCCTCACATTCACAGAGAATATGATGCGACGTCTCACTCGTCCTTTGGCAGCATCTGCAAGAATCGGTTTCGGACATACCTATGTTTTTCCGATGGTACCTGAGGGTCCTGAGGGTATGATCCGTTTAGAAGCCCGCGACTAAACCTAAGTTGCTTCTTCTTAGTTCTAGTAGTTTACGTGCCCTATCGGAATAGTTTATGAATCTTTTTGCTCGCCGTTGTTCTGCACATTGCTCCCACACAGGGACCTATCATGGTCCCTTGGGCTAAAGAAAGTTTTTTCGCTTTTTATCTCAGTTTTAGTGATGAGACTTTGAAAGAGAAAGGAAAACGGAGGGACAGACAGGCATCTTTAAATCGATTCATAAGCTCACATAGTTCCAAAACCTCTCCCCTAAGTTAAAGGAAATTTTCTTATCGTATTTTAGCATTTAAGTTTATCATTGGCAGATAGTTGCCTTATTGCTAACAAGTCTGCTCGCATATCTCAGACTATAGAACTTTCGAATTATCTTCTAACTGCACTGAGATGACATTCTTACGTGTTACGTTATTTACGTGTTGCGGGTTAAAGAGCGAAAAACTTGCAAACTATTGTTCAACTTACGTTTCCGTTTTGATCCAAACTGGGTGTCGATGACCAGATTCCAATTTTAATAGGATCGCCATTCTGTAAGTTATTCACCTTTTTAACATTTTCTGGTTCTTCTTCCCTTAAACGATATTCACCAGGTATGGAAGCAGTTGAAGCGGTCCGCGAAATCGTATATGAGGAATTTACATAGGCACCTTGACCAAACTCCATAATTGGTCAACTGTGCCTTCAATATCAGTAGCGTTAATATGAACAATGTTGAAATGCTTTTTTTTCAAGGACACACTGGCATGATCTGTAATGCAATGTTATAAATATTGGCAATTAGTTGTAGCATAAGTGTTTAAGCTGCACAAGACACAATAGCAGCAGCGATTAACAAAACTGGAAATCACAACTAGTATTAACTTAATATGGATAAGGGGCAACAACATAATAACAACAACCTTGCATTTCAATATTTTTTGTTTTGTTTTTGCTTCTCATTGTGCACAATGATTGGAAATGTTGTATCGGTTCGCGGAGATCGTCTACTAAAGTCAGAAACAGAAATATTTGAAACAAATTTTTTCAAATATTTTGCATCAACTTCATTAGACTTTCATACATACATACATAGTTTGTCATATTCATAATTACATATACAATCTTTAGTTATTGTGTCACATACTCTGCCATAATTGAGTTGAATCCAGTGATGCAGAGAGCAATGCTTTGACGTAAATATGTTGAGATATACGTTGATTGCGTGTCTCACACAGCAGATTTTACGTAATATTTACTAAGCTTATGGCCTTTAGAAATTGTTGAAGCATTTAGTATGCCATAGTCTACATAGTATAATTGTGACAGTGGGCTTACGAAATTTTAAAAACAAAACTTTCAAAAATAAAATGAAGCAACATTTTCACTTTAAGGTTATAACCGGCTAAAGAGAACAATTTTTCAAGTATATGCAATAAATTTGCATAGAAGAAGAAGATAAGTTTTACATAGATAAGTTTAAACGTTAACTCTAGGCGTTGTGGTGAACTCGGAAGCATAAAGTGAAATCAATTTTTGTGTCGTGGCTCTTAGGCGTTAAGCGACACTAGTGCTAAATTTGTGCCGATAAACGTAATAACCACAGACCCACTTTCTATAACATTGATGGTAGAGTACGTGTGATATGCTTGTGCCGACGTACGCAATACCCATAGAATCACTTTTTATTATACCGATCGTTAATTGTCTGTCCGTTTGATGTTCGTTCTAATGGCCTATTAGACTTATTATACCCTACACTACGTATGATGGGTTTGTGCCAACAAACGTAACACCCATAGCACCACTTTTTATTACACCGATTGTCTGTTCATCTGCTGTTCGTTCTAATGGCTTATGTGACTTATTATATCCTAGATTACGTGTGATAAGCTTGTGCCGACGTACGCAATACCCATAGAACCACTTTTTATTATACCGATCGTTAATTGTCTGTCCGTCCGAATTTCGTTGTAATGGCTTATGGGACTTATGAGATTTATTATATCCTAGACTTCGTGTGGTAAGTTTGTGCCGAACTATGTCACATTCGCAGACCCACTTTTTATCAAACCATCGCTGATTGTCTGTCCGTCTGACGCTTTTGGTAATAAAACGCTGAATTTTCCCCAATTGTTTGGCAAAATTTGCTCAGTAATAATACTTCGATATTCAAAATTGGTACGGAAAATTTAGTTCGGCTGGGGCAATTTTTTGAACCCGCCCTCATATAAGTGTTCCTACGAAAACTGAATCATTATATGGTAAGAAGGTCCTAATTTTCAATAAGTCATGGCGAAAAATGGTTCATGGTACTAAATTGACAAAGAAATTAACCTTGCCGAATTTGGACCACGCAGGTCTATTTTTTAGATACCACCGTACAAAAGAATTCTCATGGAATGTCGATCCCTATATCTCAAAATGTCCTCATTGTTAATGGTTTTTGATGAAATTTCCTTTCATGATAGTAATTTGACATCACATTTGAACCACATGAGTTCATTTCTTGAATCCCACTGCATATAAGATTTCTCATGAATAGTAAGCTCTTGAGAAAAAATTTTAATTTTTAATATTTTGTAATGAAAATTGCGAAATAGTCAAAAATATTAACAACAGGGAATATGGATCAAGTAGGTCTATTTTTTCGACCGTAACACATATCATCAAGAGTACATGGAGAGAAAATCTAATTTCTGAGTTTTAATAAAGAAAACTGAAAAAAAAAATAAAATTTTCGGGAGAAAGTTGAGTTTGATAAATTTGGATCACATCACGTGATGGTTTGGGCATTCTCCGATATGTGGGCTTTTATGAAAACTATGACTTTGCATAAGAACAATGTTTTTCTACATAAGAACAGTGCTTTAGAGAACTGTTCTAGGCGAAATGGCGCAGGAGATCTAATGGCCGGCCTTGTCCGACTATAACGTTCTTAATTGTGTTTCCATTGATCGGAGTCTTGAAGTCATTAACGCTTAGATCAAAAACTAAGTGTCATGTACATTCATCCAGTATTGAAATTATTATTTATCTCAATGTCCCCGACTATAACGATCTTACTTGATTTCCATATAAGGACAGTCTACCAAATTTCATTAAAAACTTTCGAAAATTGCGATCTGTAGCTTAAACGCCAAAAAAATATATGGACAGACGTCAATCGGACAGATGGACAGACAAGTTTAGGTCTATTCAAAAAATGATACTGAGTCGAACGATATATTAAACAGGTATCTTAAGCCAATCTTACCCTGGTAAAAACGAAATTAAGTGATAAAGAATAGCGCGTCGCACACGTATGTAGGTGAATGCAATCCATGGGATTGGCAAGAATTTAATTTCTTTTGAACCACTGTGCATTTAATCCATTTTCAATCTTCCGTAACGTAAACCGTTTGTTTGCATTATGCTAAGATACAATGACGTACAGATTCTATTGAGACATACAAGCGCTTGTTCAGTATGTGCATGTGAAAATCGTAAGTTTGTTTCCATTGAAAAGGAAAATTTTGTAATACTATAATTTTTTTGGGTGTAATTTTATTAGTTTATTAATATTTATTACTTTACGTGTGTTGCAATACTTTTTTTTTCGATTTAACTCACAGTTTTGTTAATTCTTCTATTTTCGGAATTAATGATATATATATAGTATTACATATATAAAAAAAAAAAAAATAAATAAATAAGAAGAAAACTGCACGTAATTAAACTTATTAAAATTCTTTCAAAAAAAATAATTAAATAATTTAATGAAGATTTGTGAATGTAATATCAGAGCTAAAAAATTAGTGTTCTACACATCATTAACTTAAAATGTCTATCAGGTATAAAAATATGAAATCATAATTTGCTCATAGATGGCCCTAAAACACTTACTGAAAACATAAATGTGTTTGTTTTTTTTAATAGCTTGGACTTTTGGTATTATAAGCAAAAACACTTTTCCTAACAACGCCAATGTCGACTTCTGCGTCAAACTAAGAGAATTCTCCGGCGGCACTTTTTCTTTGCTTGAACGGTACAAAAAAAAATCTTATTTGGATCGTACCACAAGTCGGCATAAGTTGAGAATCATAGATTTAAAAATCCATTGGTAGATTCAGGCGTCCAGAGTCCATATCGATTATCAGACTGAATTGCTTTGGCGGAAAGACGATCTATAATCTGTGCCTTGTGGCACGTGGTGCGGTTTGTTACTAGCGCTAATCGATTTGATGCTTTCGCTGTTCAAGAAACGACCAAAATGCCAAAAAGTTCATTTTCGTACGTGACATTTGTCCCTCCGTCCACGTTACACTGGAGACATTTAGCAAGGAAATGCTAGCTCAAGATGCTTACCCGACAAATGCGAGATTTTCCGACTACCAAATGTTTGCATCGATGAAACACGAACTTCTTGAACACCTCTTCACTGCACTCGATGACTGATTTATCTCAGAACAGCAGGAGGTTTATTGCGATGGATGGCATTCACCGTTCAGATTGAGAAAGGTTTGGAAAAATGTGTAACTAGCGATGGGTAACACATTTTTATGATTTTCATAACTTGATTGTGTATTTCCTATACGAAAATTCAGTTTTTATTTGTACATACCTAGGAAAGTAATATAATAATCGAATTCTGATCACGTCACGTACAAAGAGAACTCATAGCACTTTTTGACATAGTCTAGCTTCCTGCACAATGATGAGCAGCCATTGACAAATTTGTGAGTCAACACCCCTTCATTAACCGAAGTATGCAACAAATGCTTTCGAAAATGTTTTGAAGAGTTATTTAGCAGCTTAGTACTCAAATATATATATATTTTTTTTTTGTAACAGCAAAGTTTGTTTAATAAACTTCTTTTCCAGTTAAGTATGCTTTTAGCTAAGGAATGCTTTGAATTTTTAGGTTGGCAGACCTTATCATAATTGCTGCACTTACATATCTACGTCTAACGTAAAAGATAGAGAAGTAAGCAATTATGCTTTGAAAATAGTTTTACGATTATTGGAAATGTTGATATAGCCCAAATTCTATAATAAGATAAGAAATATATTAATATAACCCACATGTAGTAACACATTCGTCGAAGCAAATGCTGTATGTATAGCGTGCACGTTTGTAAAGCAGGCAGATACAGTACCGCGGCATTTACTATTATTATATAATTGCATGCATGTAGGAAAAGCTACATGAAACAATGGTAAGCAATCTAAGCAATCTTTGAATGAACAGATAGAGGAAGAGAGAGAACGAGAGAGAGAGAGAGAGAGTAGAAACACAACAGCAGTTCTAACCAAGAGTTTACATGAAAGCCATGCTATGATTAATTTTTATTCAAATTGAATATTTTAATAATTAAATATATGCGGATCCACACGCATATAAATATAATGCTTTTAAATCTTTTGCACACTTTGCCATAAGGGTTAACGGAATCAATTTAAATTTATCATGTCTTTATGAAAAGAAAAAAAAAAAAAAAAGAAATGAAGAAAGTTGTGGTATCCAACAATTTAGATAAATAAATTATCATTGTTTAGATTTTTGTTAATTGTGAGCGACATTGAGAGCAAAGGTCCACTCGCAGATATCATATAAATACCTGTTAATGTTGGTGAAGACACTAACGAAAATATTTTTAATCTTTCAACTTTTTTTAAGCCTTTTCACTTTCTTTCCCACGTCGTGTGTTTGTGTATGTTGTTTGTGTCTATGTTTATTGTCAATATTAATATTTGGAAATTTATAAAATGTATCCAGGTCAACTTTCAATTTTCTATTTCACTTTCTAAGAGACCTTTATGGAAAATAGACGGCCAAAGATCAATGAAATCAAATATTCACACATTTATCAAACCGTAAATATATTAAGCGGTATCTCTACTATAGCCAGTCTGTCTCATAAGTAAAATGATGCGCTAGTTAAGTACGAACGACTACGTAACAGAGCAGCTTAGAGTAACATAAAGAAGAGAAAAGCAAGTGAAAACACTATAGTGAAACCCGGCGTACTATTAAACAGCTATTCATAGAACGACTTTCCAAAAAAGTTGGAAGTTAATAAATTGAAAGATTTATCGGACGAAAACTGAGCTCATACTCTCCAAAAACTTTCATAAAGCTTAGAATTTCATATATCATAAATAAACGATGTGTAGGCATTTACATGGGATATAAAGGGTATTAGAAGGGTAGAGAGTTGACTAAAAATATCATTTCGAACCGTCTCAACATGACAGTTTCATTGCTTGCCAGACAAAAAAGAAAAGGACTCTGTAACATATTGCAGGCGATGCAAAGTGGATCTGCTATGACAATCACAAGCACAAAAAATAGTAGGTTAGATCAGGAAAACCATCCACATATTCATGGCCATAAAGAATTGCTGTTGAGTATTACGAGATGCTAAAACAAGAAATGAAACTTTTACTGCGGAAATCTCTCGACATCAACTGAACAAAGTGAACGATGTATTATTGCAAAAACGACCAGCAATAGCGCGGCTATAAAACGCATAGTGATCCTCTTGCGTGGCAACACTCAGCGACTAGTTGCAAGAGTTGTCAAGGATACTTTGTTGCAGTTAAAATGGGAAATTCTGCCGCACCCTGCTTAGTCACCAGATTACCGCTTGTTCCGATCCATGCAACATTGCTTGGCAGACGCACGCGTTCGAAATGGTAAAGAAGTGCGAAAATTAGTTGATGATTGAATCACTGCCAAAACAATATTGTACTTTCCCTATGGTATCGCCACCTTGCCAGAAAGATGGAAAATAGTTGTAAGAAATGATGGAAAATATTTTCATCAATATATATATATTGAACCAATTTTTCTCAATAAATGCCTATTTCAAGTGAAAAAATGATCGAAATACCTGCAAGCACCCGATAAATGAACTCAAATCAAAAACAATAGCTGTTGTTCCCATGATTCTTATGATTGACTGAAGGTCACATCGTGGTATGATTTGTTATAGAAACCTTTGGTACTTGGAACTAAGATCATGTATATTTCAATTTTCCATTGGATACTTTTTTTTATATGTTCATGGATTTGCTGCTTACACTGAATGGATTGTTAAAAAAAAATTAACTTTGTGAGAGTTCGTAGTGTGGGACTTTAAGTTTAACGTGTGCTAACCTTTTCATTTATCCTTTTATACCCAACCCCGTAGGGTGAATGATATATTCATACTGTTAAAACGTTTGCAACGCCCAGCATCAATCTAATTAGATTTAAGCATTTCCCCGCTGTCCGTCCGTTTGAAGTCTATTGTAAACATTCTCCTCGCCGCAAAAATGAAGCTATCGACTTCAAATTCACGCGCAGGTTGGTATTGCAAATCGGGCCAAATCGGTTGGAAGAGACACCCATAGCACTACATAAATTGAGAACCCTTCTCTTTTTCAAACGGAATGAAAAATTAATTTTTTGTTCATTATTCATCAATTGTAACAAATAAATGTACGAAAATTTAAACGCATGTTCTATAGGCGACGTTCTAGCACCTTTACAAAAATGGAAATAATTGGCCACGCCTTTCTAATATTAGAGTGTATCAAAATTTAATTATTTTTTCAATACCTTAGAAAGACGCGGAACTAAGCTTCAAAAATCCCACAAAGTCTATAAATTCTTGACAAGTTGTCCGTCTCTTCATCTATCTGTCTGCGCGACTGTATGGTATTTGTAGTATACACTCTACCGTTAGCGAATTTGAATAATCCGCCTATAAATTTGCAAAAGAATTTGAGAGGGAACTAAACTTTTCACAGGACACGCCCACAACGCTCACGCATCTATTCGACGAAAACTTTTATTTTGAAAACAAAAAAAATCAGCTGCGCCATGAAAATATAGTTCTTTTCCTGTTTTTGTGTTTTTTATAATAACGGTGCTGGGTATAAAACGTTCGGTCACAACCGCATATAATTTTTTTACTTGTTAGACATTCCACGAACTATTTGTGCAGAGAATATCAAGAAAATATTCTCAGATTAAAGCTTTTAATAGCTCTTCCTTCGTGCAAGCGACCGTTGTCTCCAAGAATCATTTTAATATATGAGCAATGGGATGACTGCAACAAACATAAGTTTAAATTAGCTGATAGTTGATTGATTGTAAATCGCACTGTGCTTGACTGTAATTTTTATTTGATATTCTGAGCTTAATCGGCGCAGTCCAAAAACTTGTTTGCGGCATCCTATACATATGTATATGTATATATGCATGTATAGAGCGTCACGGTACAAGGCCCCCTAGTGTCTATCAAAATGTATTGAATGCAAATGACTTTACATGCAGCACATTTTGCAAAGTCATTATGTTTGTGATAACCAGAAGTTATTGAAAACTCTAGGTGTAGCAGGTGTACATGCACTGACTTATTGTCGACTTACATTCATAGATTGTTTTTTTTTTTTTTTTTTTTTTTTAATGTGACTAATCACTCAGTGGATGTCCCCTATTCGTGTAAGATGGTGACTGTAAGAAGGAAGAGAGGGAAGAGAAAAAATGCTATAAGGAGGCATTTGCCCGCAACCCACCGTGAGTAAGCATTTACTCTAGCTACGATTAAAGTAAACTCTATCCCACTTGAGATTTAAACCCCGACTAAACACTAACTTATTGTCGGCTTATATTCATAGATTGTTTGTTTTTTTTTTTTTTTAATGTGACCAACAACACTCTAAATGCCCCCCATTCGTGTAACGCAGCGACCGACTGACTGGGGAAAGAAAAAAGAAGAAATAAGGAGCTGTTGGCCGCAGTCCAATATTATTTACTACACTCTACTGCGCTTGGGATTTGAACCCGCGAGTAGTGACTTGTTTCTTACCTACCCGGCGGATAGATCTTTTTTATTCCCATTCCCGCGAACACAATACAATTATCTTAGGAAGTCTTGTTAATTATTTGCATGTTTAAGTTTCCAATCGTTATCCTTCTTGGATCGCTCTGTCGAAGATACACGTATAGAGAACGCATCTTTCCTAAGTATATTTTATTTTAATTTTCCCATACCGCACATGCACGCGTTTTAGGCAAAATAACATTAATTTTCAGAAAATTTGTTACAAAATAAAATGCAGCAAATGCTAGCAAAAGTTTCTAACAATTGGTTTCATCGAAAAATTTTATGTAAATCCAAAGCAATAGACTCTCCAGCTTTTATCAAAGCATTTATCACTTGCTTATGGAAAAAAGAGCTGACCTGAGTAGTCAGCATTGGTTTTGTAATGTAAACAAACGGAATACAAATGCAATTTTCAACTCACATTAAAACGTGCGTTAAATGTTAAGAGGTTGAACAGTAAATGTCAATAAATTTCTTAAGTTATTTTTTGTTGTTGTTGTTGCAATTGTTGCTGTTGTTGTTTTGATGCGCACCGCGAAGTTATTGTAATATTTACAATATAAAGTTAAACAGGTTTTTATTGTTTTTAATTTATTAGAAAAAATATATTTTGTTGATTTTTATTTAGTAAGATTTTAAATAAATCGTCTGTTATTGTTTTTTTTTTTTTTTTTTGCTTTCTTGAAGTTTTCTTAGTTAAGCTAAACTTTTTTAAATTTTTTAATCAAACAAATTATTAAAATTTTTTTTTTTTTTAAAGTTAACGTCTTAACACGATCACTGCTACAAGTAAACTGATCAGCATAGGTTTGTTAACTGGCTGAGTAGTTAGTTAGTTTTTTACCTCTACGCGATGTGACCCAATCGTAATAAAATTGTATTTTGCTTACTCATATTCATTCATTCTCATCGCATTGAGAACGACGTACTGACACAGACTTGTTGTATATATCAATTATTAAATATCTACGCTTGTTTAGTAAAATATTTGCAAAATTTGTTTATTAAATCAGTTCAGTCTGTCAAGCCTTCAAATTGTTAATTAAGAAAAGGTTCCTTCATTTGTTTTGTTTTGCTTCTTTTTTTTTTTTTCTTTTCCTTTTAAATGTGTTTTACTTTAAGTAGAAGTAAATAAAACAAGCAAAGTCAACTAGTAAGTACTTTACATCCACCTGGCTTACTAAAAAGCTTTATCTATTTTCTTCATAAAATGTTAAAAGTTAGAGTTTGTAGCCCTACAAAGCCGTCCTTTTTATAAGGAAGATTTCGAGGAGCAGACCTATGTTGATTTACCAAAGTAAATCTATATGTCAGGTCAATTTTTTAACAAACAGAAACAAAATCTGGTTTTTATATTAGGTTGTTCGGAAAGTCATTTCGCTTTTTTTTCTTCTTAATGGTAATTTTTCACTCTTAAGCCGCATAATCATTACTTATTTTGACAATGGATACAGCTCGGCTTGATTGGTGACCTCTCAAGTATGGAAAGTGCAAAAAAAGCAGTTTCGGCGTATGTTACTTTTTTTACTTACGGAAAGGTCAAAATGCTATTCAAGCAAGAAAAAAATTATCCGGTAAGTATGGAAAAGATGAATTGACTATATATTTAAGAAGATTTAGTTAGCTGAGATTTCGAAAAATGTTTTCATCCCATGGAAGTTGTCCAATTTTTCTGCCAAAGGCAATCACTACGGCACAAGGTGTTTTTTAGAAGAGAAATATAGAAAATTATAAATTTTTTTCATATCATTTTGTTGTTTCAAAAAACGAATTTATATTTTCAAGTGCTTGAAAAGACTTTGCGGTCCAAGTCATTGTCGATAGCGCTCATCCTTGGAACAAAACATATCGGTCTCGAAATCGATAATTCTCGAATATTGTAATGAGTAGATTAAACACTAAAAATTATGAGTAAATATGGAAATAATGGAGGGAGAGACATTCTTAAATTTATCGACTCCATGAATCTATTTCGAAAATGAGTCTGGAACGATTGGTGTAACAAAATGTGGATCTTTTTCAAAATATCTGCATAACTGATTTAGGGTGGAAGCAGGACCAGTAACGATGATTGACTTTACTCACCACAGCGTGGTAAGTCGTTTTTTTCGTCGTCCATGCGAGATCTTACTATCTACGATATCAACTACGCTTTAGCCTTAAGAGGTTGCCCTCACTTACGCCTATCTCTCTTTACGTTCACTTGTGTCTTTGCTTTCCTTGCTCATAGCCATTATAAAGCGGATCATTAAATTTTTAGGTTACCTTGACACTCACAAACACCCATAAATATATATAAGCCCTAATGATGTTGCTATGGTTGTGGACTTATAGAGGACTTAAAATATTTGTGGGTATAGTAACAGTAACAGTGCTTGAGATATTTTAAGATTACTTGTCAAATTTAAATGAGCTGAATTGTCAAAGGAAATTAGATCAAATACAATCTCAAAGGAAATGAACGAAACTCCTATGCATTCTCGTACAAACTATAAATGCTCCTCTTAGCGAGTGCTGGTGCTTAGTATATTTGTTTTAATATTCATTTATTTAGTGTTTCTTTTTTTGTAACATCATTTTTAATTATATTTTTATTATTTGTACAGCTCTTGGAAAAAGTAAATTCTTTTCACCTCCGGCACATAAGCAGATTTAATAGGAAAACAAATCTTGTGTCAATGCACAGTTAATTCGAGCCAGCTTTCATTTATTTAAAAAATATTGTTTACCTTTGAAAAGCTTTTTAAAAAGCTTTCTACGGTAAGTAACTAGAGTAGATTTCAACTTTCATCGGTTATTGTTAAAACATATTAAAGCTTTTTTACTGTGTTGGCAACGCATTCGCGTTCAAAGCCTTCCCAATCGCGATATCAACAAGCTTTCGTTTGTCTGCTGAGGCAGATGCTGATTATAGCTTTCGCAAATTATAGTAAACGTATAGCGAAATGCTTGGCTTTTACTCACAAATACAGTGAAACCTGAAGAAATAATATACGCTTCATACTTGCAAACGTAATAATAATCTTTCTTTCCAAGGTCCATTATTGTACTCCTGCAAAACGCAACTTTTAAATATATATTTAAATGCCGTGCGCCGCTTGTAGAGGATATTTTGATCATAACTCATGCAAGTGATATGTTTTGACACAAGGACGAATTTTATTGAAAATGATTCGGATCGGTCCACTTTTTCGACCATTTCCTATAAACCGTCCTATTCTGAAAAGTCATTACATGGGCAAAAATTGTAATTTTCAAAACTTTTCGGCAAAGGTGCATAAGTGGTAGCATTTCGACATTTTAGATTGGTGTGAAAATTTTGGACCGAAAACTTTTAAACCTACACTCATACAACGAAAACTGAAGTTCTTACCAAGGTATAGCTGTAATTTAACACAAAAAAATAAACTTCACCAAATTTCGACCATCTCGGCCCCGTTTTTGGATCCTACCCTAATAAGAATTTTCAAGAAAATTAAACCTTTGTAGAGCAGAATAGTCTAAGTTTTAACATGTGGTGATGAAAATTGATCCATAGTAGTAATTTCACACAAAAATAAGAATTGTATTAGACAATATGGTGCAGATATTTTCATGAAATTTGATGCAATGACTTGTTTCGATCCCACGACGAACACTATTGAAAAAGATTTCCTCCCTCTATAGCGACTTTTCATAATAAGGGAGAGAATTGAAAATTTCAAAATTTCTCTACAAAAGTCGCTGAGTACTAGTATTTCGGCATTCTAAATTGATGCGAAAAATTTTGATCGGCTGGGGCAATTTCTTAGACCTCCCCTCATATAGCCGTTCCTACGTGGGTTGAATCTTTACATGGCACAAAGTCATATTTTTCAATACTTCATAACAAACATTCATATTGACAAGCTAATCAATCTTGATTTTTTGCATACTACCGTATGATTGGATTTTCAGGACCGGTTTTATGCCCCCATGGCCTATTTGTTAATATTCTGTGATGAAAATGTTGTTATTATAGTAACAGATCTATATCTTTGATCCTAGATTATAGGAGATTTCTAATGAATAGTGAACTTTTCAGCCCTCTTAATATTTTATGATGAGAATTAATCCTTAGTAGTGATTGAGCAAAAAAAAAAACGCTACGGAATTTGGATCAAGTAGGTCTATTTTTTAGACTCGAACAAATACAGTGGTTATCACGAAAAAGAAGCCCTTACGTAGAGACATAGTATAATATGTAGGTTTCTATGAAGTAAACTGAATATTATAAAATTTTTCGAAAAGTAAATAAAGTTTGATAAATTTGGAACACGTCATTTAATGTTTGGGCATCCTCAAATATGGGGGTTTTCATGAAGAGTATGCCTTTGCATAAAAAGAATAGTTAATTTTTATGGCATTATTACCGAAATGATTGAAGAACTTTACTAGACGAAATAGTGTAGGATAACTTATGGTCGGTCTTGGCCAACTACGTTGTTTTTGCTTGTTTTCCTATTGATCGAAGTCTCGAAGCCGTTAACGTAGGCATGGGAAATTAAGGGATTGAAATGACTATATAACTATCCTCAACCCTGTATTTATCAGCCATTATTTCTTATGGTTCGTGTTGGTTTCAATCCACTATTGTTATGATGCTCAAAAACTAGATTAGTATTTGGGCAGTCACGAAAGATCAATTCTCTCTTCGACATGGAATTCATCTTCTGTCCGAAAGGTAAGACAAACAAGTGCTTGACTGAGTGCTTGCTTAAATGATAGTGTAGGAACAATCAAGCTTTCCTCCCATGAAAACGGCTTCATGAAGCGTGGCATTGATTGGTTAACCAAATATTTTAATAACTCTGCGGACTGAAATATAGAGGTCATCTATGATGAAAAAATTCTGTTTATTTTTAAGGAGTGCTTACCCTCAAGCGACGTCGAGACCCAATTATTTTTTATGTTCTCGCAACAGTGGAAAAATTCCGAATGTCGTGTAAAATATGATCATTCACATCAAAGCCGAAACTGAAATCGAAAGATGCGAACTTTTTTCTATTAAAAGGAATAATTCAGGGGTGGAATGCTGATTTCAAGCGGGACAGATCGGGCTAAACAAGTGTTATGGCAACTCTTTTTCTATTGAAAGTGATAATAAGGAGAGCGTGCGGATATCGATGATGCTATAAATAATGGACACTCGAGCTAAAATCTGTTGTTTCCCTATGGGCAACGGATTTACTCATAATAGGATGAATACACTACGACCATATGGCATAAATTGAAGTTCAAATCGCTAAGAAGATCAAACATAGAGACTTGACATTTTCAGGGATTTTTTCTTTCCATATAAAAGACATTGAATTATTCGAGAAGCATTCGATTAGTTTTATTATTCTTAAGGGCGCCTTATGTGCTGATAAATTGAATTTTGAATGTTTTTGAGTGTTTTTTTTTTTCTTTTGGTCCTCGGAATATGATTGACCCATATATTAAATGCATGTAAATAATAAAACTTGTTATTATTAATCTCTCTATGTACGGTTTTGTGTCTTTTCCTTGTAGACCTTGTACGTGCGATCTAAATTAAAATGTGATAGCCTTAGATAGGCGAGATAGAAAGCTTAGAGAGTCTAACCTAAAAAGTTAATCTTAATTGTCAATATATGGGACTTAACTGAATGCGTAATGCGATGTAGAATTTGTAGAAGCTTATCATTTTTTTAGGTTACGTGCCAACACTTGTTTAATAGCACACGTGATAATTAAGGTTACTATTTTATTAGTGTTATTATTAGAAGCAAACTAAGAACTTTATTTTTATTAAGGAGTAAAAATAGGCAAATGAACTTTAAGTTAAAAAAAATAAAAAAAAATCTTACCTTCATTATGAAAATATTTTAAGTGCGCATTTTCTACATTAACGATGATAAAATGAAAGAATAAACAATCATAATCTAAAATATTAGAGATGGATGTGTTTTTCTTCTTTTATATATGTATACTTTATATAACTATTTGTTATTATTATGATTACGAGGTGTTATCATGTTCACAGTGTTCATTCGTTTGTCTATCTGTTTATTCGTTTGTTTGTTTGTTTACTTTTGTCAGTTTGTCAGTTAAGTAAGTAAAGCTAGTAAATGATGATGATTATAATTTTTTTTTTATGTGTGTTATTGAAGTAAATTTCGGTTGAAAATCCAAGAAAGAAACGAAATTTCTTTCTTGCCAAGCGATCAATTAAAGCGAAAACCACTCGCAATCAACGGAACACAATGAAGCTTTAATTACTATCTTAGGTATTTTTTCGAAATGACTTTGAAAATTGATTTGTGATAAATGACAAGCGCCTCTACTTAGTCTCCAAATCATGTAAATTTTTCAATTAACACTTCCACTTAGAAGCCTTGCACTGACCCTAAATACAAGTGTTAATTATTCCATAAAATTGAAATATGTCGTTTTGTTTAGATTTTCATAAAAAGCTTATTAAACAGCACTATAACAGTCAATGCTCTCGTCCCAATTGAATAAGTGCCAGGAAAGTACTTTTTAATACCTTCGTATTTTTCTGGTTAGAGGTTCGAGAAACTTTTTTCCCTTCCGCATTGTTTCTTACTTATAATAAGTGAAGGCTCAATACTTTTTAGACATATTAATATCTAGCATCTTTCAAAAACCACATCGATTGTTATGCGTAATTCGATGTGTTCAATACAATAATTTTGCCCTTATATAAATTCATATACAGGGTGATCAAATAAGCCCTTCCAGAGATGAACTGAAGCCCATTTACCTGAAATCATTTTTAAAAATGTCATGAATCATATTAATATCTTTTATCATTTTTCTTTTGTTAGAAATTAAAAAAAGAGACCATTTATTATATGACCCTGTAACGTTGGTAATCAAATCCGACCAATGCTAAATAACTTCACTTTGTTATTTTGTCGAAGCTCAGAGCAGAAGACTGTGTAAACTTGCATGAGGTTTATAGGTAAATACATAAGCGTAGCACAAAGGTGTAGAATATATCTAAATGTATATAGCACATGTGTTTTAATGCGGTTTACTGACTCACATTGCAAAAGCAAACGACCGACCTTTGTGTATAAATAATGTTGTGATAGTGAAACTTTGTTAAGTCTTTTGGGTTAGTTTATTAAGCCAGGTCAGGTATCGTAATTCGCCGTAGTGTTTACTCTTATCAGCTGGATATTGCATACGTCGATCGATCATAGAATTTGTGGTCTGGTCACATGATGTATTCTTTCAAGAGAACACAGAGCAGGCTGACGTGCTACCAGCTGCATTCTATAGATTATTGTAAGTGAGTTATTAGATAAAAATCGCACGAAGAATCGCTTAGGCAGCTAGTAATGATTTACTACAACACTAGTGCTGAGCGATTCTTAATGCTTGCATGCAAAATTATAACCTACACCACTTGTGTTGCAGGGTATATTAAATTTGTGCGGACATAAACCTACCTTTTATTGTACCGATATAAGCTTGTCTGTCTCTCCCTTTGTCTAATGTTTTTTCATGTATTTTTATGTTTCACTTTTAGGTCACAATTTTTGAGATATTTTGATGAACACTGGTACACTGACGTGCTTTGACCCAGGGACGAAGGCTATTGTTATGTTTTTTAATCGCTACAAAAATTGCAATCTTTCAAAATTTCTCGACAAAACTGGTTCTGTGATATGAAAAATTGGTATGAGAAAATTGTTTCGACTGAGGTAATTTTTTTAACCACCTCTCATATAACCGCCCCTACGAAAGTTGAATACAGTGTAATGGTATAATTTTGAAGGTTAGTTCATAACAGTAAATTGATAGAGAAATCAATTTTATCGAATTTGCACCATTCCTCCCATATGCGGGCTCTCCTGGAAAGTACACTCTTGCATGAGAATGATTTGTAACTTTTGGTGTATTATTAATCAAACGAGTGAATAATTGTATTAGGCGAAATCGTTTAGGGTGTGTAAAGGTCGGTTTATCCTCCTTTATAAGTTTATATATAACTTGTTGCCGGCATTCTGGAATCATTTATCAAGCGAGGGATTATGTTCCTTTTAATAAGTTTCTCGACATGAGTAATAAATGAAAGGGATTGGAGTTTAGAATGAAGGTAAGTTAATCGTGTTGATTCCACAAAAGTATTTTGTTAACCTCACGACTTGACTAAGCTCGTTTGGGCATGTACTTTGCGAATAGAATGCAACAATCTAAGTGCCGCCATTCTATATGGCGGGTTATCTATTCTCGAATAAGTAGAATTTTTGCTTGGCCAAGACCAATTTTTTTTTAAGTGTTTTGGGATTTTGTTAGTTTAACGGAATCATTCAAAATTTTCACATTTGTAGATCTGCTCATATGAAAGGATTAATTATTTTAATCCGTCAACTATCACTTGTTGTTTTTGTATCTTGGTAAATTTTTCCTTTTCCCCAAAAACTTTTCCCGCAGTTCGCTAGAGCACATCAATTCTGATTCTCATCTACAATTGATGATATTTACGCACATATATAAAAAACTTTTCGAAATGAATTTAATTAAATTTCAAATTCCTAGTGCACCTAAGCATGTCCGTTTGTTCATCTGCGCATTTTTGTAGTATCTGTGAAAAAAGTTCTTCCGTTCGCAAATACGACGATATCGTTTACAAATTTGTAAAAGAATTTGAAAATGAGCGAAATCGGGTAAAGGACACATCTACAACATACACACGCCTATATGATAAACACTATAAACACTTTCGTCTTTCGTATTTCTGCTATTTACTCATAAACTACAACTCATATATCATGCAAATTTCGACTTTTATTTTGAAAATAGCAAAAACCAGCCGTTCCCAAACAATATTCTGGAGTAGGAAAGTTTACTTCGTTTCCTTTTTTTTACGATCGAGTGTAAAAAATTCGGTTATGACCGAATATAATTTTTTTACATGTTTTTATAGGCTCAGTAACAACTTATTTATGGTAAAATTGGTTAAGAGAATTTCTAAAACATGTGTAAGAATTTTGATATCGGAAGGGTGAATCTTTTCGGCTTTTTCCATTTTTTTCGCACTTTATTATTTTTTTGAATTTCATCCTTTTTGGAGCATAAGAGTTCACGAAATGCTTACCGTTTTTGGAATTTATCTTTGTATATTGCGTTCTACTAAAGGTTACTTTCCCGTTTTATGAGGTTATGTCATGAGATTATGTTGTTTTTTTTAATGTTGCAACTTTTCGAAGACTATTTTCAAGGAATCCCAAATATTTCAAAAACTATTGAAATATTTCTTTGCTTTTAAGTTGACACTTGTGGGTGCGGGTTGCTTTCAGTGCGCGATCCTTCGATAAAGCTGTAAGGAATATGTAGAATATTTTTGGCAGTAGACGGTCTGCCCACTTCATTACTAACTGCTTAGAAAATTACTTACAAAAGATTGATAAAAGTTTCAAATAATTGAAAATGATCTTGGGTAAGGGATATTGATTATGAAAAGTCTTCTTGTGGATTGTATTTACTTGATAGGGCGAATACAAATTCAAATATGAAAATGCTCGCTTAACTGTTGTAATAATAAACGAATGAAAAAGTTACATATGGCTTAGAACGAATCTTGGACACTCAACCACTCAAATGAATGTGTGTGTAGCAAGAAGTAAAAATGTGAGAAATGTTAGCGTGTGTCAGTGTTACAAACGGGCGGGCAGATTGCCATACGCAATTCCATCAATGCGGAATTTTACACTGGTTAGTAAGATTTACACTACGTGCTGTCTTTCCATGGATGTTATAGCGCATTACATACGAGACGACGAAAGTGATATAAGTATCCTTGGATTATTTTATTTTCCAATTTATTTAAATAAAATAAAAGTCAAGATAACACATAAGGTTCTCCTGCTATAAAATGACAATAACTATTGCGAGGTGCGCGAATGCTAGACGACAAAAAACAAATGATAGCATATTGTTTGTTGTGTGTGTTTGTTTGTTTTAAGTTAAAGCAATTCGGTCTATCAGTCTGCTGTGTTTGCGAATTCGCCGCAAATACATTGACACTATGGCGCATGGCGAAGAGAATGTGAATGAGTATGGATGCTAAATATATATAAATGAAGCAAAAGTTTCTTTCGCACGTCTATAAAAGCCATTCGATGATTTAGTGAAAACTCAAACGATCAAACGATCAACTAAAGAGTAACATAAGAAATCCTCGTACACATCAGGAATTCAGTTTCAAGTTACAGTTACACGTCGCTTGCTTGCTTGCTTTTGTTTAATTTAGCGTCAAATTATTTATATAAAATACAAAAAAATCATATAAAATATAGAAAAATATATAGAACAAAAGTAGAAACAAAAACAGAAAGAAATTTCATTAATGTTTGATCAAAAATTTGCACAAAATTCTTCTTATGATGAAGCCATGAGTGAGGCTTAGCAAAATAATTAAACAAAAAAAAAATAAAAAAAAAAAAAATAAAAAAAAAAAAAAAATAAAAGAAAAGAAGAAATAATTAATTGAAAAGAAAAAGTATTTGTCGCGAGGAAAAAGCGTTTAAATAATTTTTATTCGATATTTCGTTTTGCTTAAAAAGAACCCTTTTTGGATGGGCGTAGTTATGAAAGTAAAATTGTTTCAACCGTTCGCAAGAAATACTCTTAAGAAGGTGCCGTTAAAATTGAAAAAATTGCAAATATATTTTATGTTTAAAAATTTATCTAAACGAAAAACTTTATTAAAAAGCAACAATAAACAATTGACACTAGTTGCGTTATTGTCATCGTCATCTGCAACTTCATTGGCAATAGACGCTGTATCCGATATTGAAATTGAATATTTTAAATTTGTGAGAGTTTAGTGCAGTTTATTAAAGAGGAGCTTATTAAACGGGAATCAAAAACTGCGCTGGTCGTATTACATAAGCAATTTAACTTCGAAATAAAGTATTTATTGCCTTATATAGCTTAGAGGTAAGTGAAGACGCGCACTGAACCTATTATTTATTGGGAGCATCAAAGGGAGGAAGTATTTCCTCTTTGTAACAAATAGATTATATTGTTCGAGATCTGTTGAAGATGATCTTCAGATTACTTCTCAGATTTTTTGAGTTAATTTTAATCAACTCCCCGGCGTATTTATTATTTTGATTATTATCTTTATACCTTTCTTGCAAAAATGAACGGTATCCTTATATATATATATATATATATATATATAGAGTTCAGTTACATAATTTAAAGCGTATGTATGTGTAAGGTATAAAATTTTGTTGCTGAGTTCTTTATTGAAAGGCATTCATCGAAAGAATCGCCCCTGAGTTCTACAAGACTGCAGTATTACGGCTACTTGCGTTTGTCTATCGATTTCCGGATTTGGGCTCACTATCTCTAGTCATTTTTTTAGAATCTTCAGTTTTCATTGGATTTTTTGATTATTTCTCATTTATATTTTTGTCATTTGATCAGAGGTACATTAATAAGGCGTACATTTTTTTTCTTTCTTTTTTGTCAATCATTACGATATCTGGTCTATTATGAACTACTGGCCCTTTAGTTAAATAGTCATGTTTTCGGGGTGGGTATTTTTTTCCAAAATAAAAATAGAAACGCAATGACTTGTTTTTCCAGCTGCGGAGTGCGTGCGTCCTGATGAAAATGTTTAATAATTTTTGCTGCTTGGCATCCAGATGCTGGGCTAGCACTTTGCACCATAGGATCTCTTACCATTGATTTCTCATGCATATTACTCTATTTGATACTATATAGCAATCGAAAGTCCTTCTATTTATGGGAAAAAACTATCATTAATTAATTGAAATTCCGAAGCTTGATCTTTGCCATGTAATGCTTTAGCTTTCTATTGATTTATATTTTCGTTATTATTATTATTATTATTGATATTATTGTTTTGATTATCTGGCACAAAATATTTATAACATTTCGAAATATACGTCACAAGAATCTTTGTTCCATTAGCTGTCATATGTTCTTTAAAACTATTAGATTATAGGTCTGTTCATCCTCGTGCATGCACTTTTCTGGCTACCTCCAGTTTGTCATGGCTGTTAGGTGGATTATATATACACTAAACACTGCACTCTCCTTTTTCTATCTATAATCCTTGCTTTAAGTAAGAAAATTATATGTGATCGTGACTGAATCCTTCATACCCATCATCATCCTAAACAAGGCAAAAAAATGAAGAGACTAAATTTTCATGTTCATTATAGATGGGGAGCAGGCGTGGGTGATTTTTTTTTATCATCAATACAAAAGTTTTTGTCTTATAGCCATGTGGGCGTTATAGACGTGAGCTTGGTATAATTTAAGTCATTTCGAAATTCTTCTGCAAATTTCTATGTTTTCATTTTCACTAACAACGGGATGTTTACAGGGACAGGCGGACATGTTTAAGTACATTCAAAATTTTAAATTGGCCAAAAACTTATTTACTTTAAGGGTTTTCTTGCTTGTTTCTCCCCCTTAAAAAAGTATTGAAAAAAATTAGATTATGATATACTATAATCGGGTAGGCGTGATCAATTTTTTCGAATCTGGTACAGATGCGACAGCATCGGCCTTGGAATGTGCGTTCCAATTTTTTTACATTTATCTGCTTTAGTTTATAAGTAATGAGCAAAAAAACAATTTTGCAATATAGAGGGGTTCCCAGTTTAGGTGATGCTGGGTGATGAGGGAATGTTCTTCGACCGATTTGGCCCATTTTCAATACCAAGCTACGTGCAATGATTTGCAACATTTTTGCCATATTTGAAGTCAACGGCTTCATTTTTGAAACCAGGATCTTTGCCAACACGGAGACGGACAGACACACAGACGGGCAAGCGAACATGTTTAAATCGATTTAGAATTGGATGCTGATGAAGAATACATATACTTTGTGGGATCTCTGATGCTTCTCTCTGGTCGTTGTAAACGTTTAAATAAACTGAATATATCCCCCGTCCTTTGGTGATGGGTATAAAGAGGGAGTACGGTGGTACAATCCGTGCGACCATTTCGTGGTACCATTCGTAGAAGTTATTACAGTAAAATCTCCTACAAATATTTGAGAGAAACATTTAAAAGCAGTAGGGGGACCGGGAAGTCATTTCTGCGCCTATCGATATTCATGAGCTATTTATCAGAATTCCGAGCAAATTCGCGTTAGACAATCGAGAAACAGTCACACATTGTTCGCTAACCAATCTTGGTCGAAGGTCCAAGAACATTTGCTGCAAATCGGTAAAGTAAGCAGAGCAGATGTTTGTGTCTGTTCGAAGGGGGGAAAGCCAAAAATCGACCCATCACATGCAACTTATTGCGTTAGCGGCACAATACCGAAGCGTGTTTTGATCGTGTTATCACTGGCGATGAACGATTGATCGTCTGCGATAATCCAAAATGCAAAAGGTGCTGCCTCTTTCCGAGTAAGTTAGGTTTACATCCCAAAAAGGCCCGTTATTATGCCATCGGGTTTCTATTTACTTCGATCACATTACAATATTTTCTAAGTGAGAAAAATTGATCTGTAGAGAAACGTCATTACTCTCTCCCTAATAATTTCGACCACGGGGACACTACTTGCAATGTCTGTTGGAGTAGAGATTAGTATTTATTGACATAGAGTTCCTATTTTGTTCGTTTTTAAAGCGCTGTGAATTCCAAGGTAAAGGGCTGCCGAATAAAGTCAAATCGATTTTACGTAAATAAATGTTCGATTAATGAATTAAAGGGAATGTTTTAATAGAATTACCGATTAATTTCACTAAATGCATGGTAACTATGAATCAACATCGTGTCATCGGGTGAAAATTTTTAACTAATAAACTTCGTCGTCACGCGTATCTCCCAAGAGACTCTGATGAGTTCAGGTGCGAAGAGAAAGTACATAAAACGTCACAACAAAACTCCGACAGACGCAAGGGAACATATAGAGCGTCTATGGAAAGATTTGAGAGTAACGACTTGATTTTTAGTTTTATTATTAAAATGTTATGTAATGTTGTCGTTAAACCCTAATTGGTAAGCAATTAATAATATTTTGAGACTGGATCTTAGATACACGGTCCAACTTCTTTATAGTTCGATAGACTTTCCTTACATTTGCATTAGTTGGTAATAGTACTTAAGCAACATTCGTCGGAAAATGAAAGAAAGTTTCTTTTACTTGTTATGTTTGTATTGCAGAATGAATCAGGAAATGGGACTTGTCTGTGTTGTGTTTGTCGTCTCTTTTGGAAAAGCACATTAAAGGAACGAGCGTGGGTTTCATTAGCGTAAGATATTTGCTAGACTTTATCGAGTCTTTGTACATATGTCCCTACGTCCATATATCAACTTGTTTTTCGTAGCAGGTGCAACAGGTTACAATGGTGTGCGGCAATTGTTTTCCGTCATGCTTGTAAATCGAGCTTACAAAGACTGTAATCATGAAACAATTTCCAAACCAAATATTTCGGCGCATGAGTAATCTAAAGGGAAAATTTATGAAATGTTTTGTTAGCCTCTTGTCAAACTTGGGGGGAGTTCGTATTAGCTCGATAGCTAAAATTGATCGATATGCGTTATAAGATGCTTGCATTTTTTAAATATTTATTGTAATCAATACATAGTTTTATAGACATATCGTTGTTTAATAATTTAATTATTGAATATCACTTCCACTGCCGATTTGAATTTAGCTTTGCTTTTAGTATATACTTGAAGGGAATTTTAAAATTTCTTTTCATTGACAGATAATATGTTAATACGTTTTACAAACACTATTTTTTATTCATTAATATAGTTACGCATGTGTACATACATTTCACTTATTTTCTATTTTTTACATAAAATGATTAGAAGTATGTCAAGTAACATAATATTGATAAAAAGAAAATTAAAAACTTAATGGCGTTAGGGTCATTAAAGTGTGAACTGCGTAAGTTTACTTCAGATATTGTCACGTACGTAAATGCTATAAATATTAAAAAAAGTCTTATTGAAGGGGAGATATTGCTTTGGTTAGTGACGAAACTTGCTATGCCTATTTGTGCAGGCGCCTTAGGCTCGACGTTACATTTGATCTTGTGTTCATATTCCGCCTGAGTAGCAGAGTAGGTAAGAACCGCGACTATCTAGTTGGTGTTCGTAAGTTTAAATCTCATGTGCTGCAGAGTTCTCTTTACTCGAAGCTGCAGTGAATGCTAACTAGGCATATAACACTAATTGATTGTGCGCACACACCCACTAGGCTGTGGTCACCGCGTTACATGAAAAGTGGACAATTTCAACCTCAAGTGCTGGAAAGTTGTGTTTGCTCGTAGCTACGGTGAGAGCTGACGAGGTAAAAGCGCTGACCTTTAATGCTGTGGCTACCACCTTCTTGTGTTTTTGTTTTCTTTACGATAGTTACCGTGTTATACGAATAGCGGACTTTAAGTCTCAAGTGGTGCAGAATTCTCTTTGGTCGTACTTACAGCGAATGCTGGCGAGGTGAACGCAGACTCTTCAGGCTGTAGCTACCGCCTTCCTATTACTTTCTTCACCTTTCTGATGTTTACCGTATTGCACGAATAGAGGACACCCTTGAATGATCGGTCATATCAAAAATATATATGTTTATATATATTCATTACCTTTAAGATTCAACTTTGAATTTGTGATTTAACAAGAAGCGCAAAACACAGAAACAAAATTCATCAGACTAAAGCCGCTAAGAATGCGGTTACGAATAGAAGAGTGAATAAATTAAACCATTTCCGATCCTAGAATATGGCCGGCATAAAAGATAAGAAACTTATTATCGCCTATAGCACGTCATATTTTTGAAACGACGTAATAACGAGCGTTGTCGGTTTGACTTGAACATATACGAATTACGAAGAATTGCTAAACAATGGCAGAGATAGTCAGATAATGTGTTGCGCCACAAAGTAATCCATAAATCATTTAAAACGGATCATGCAAAGCAAAAAACAATTGCCATA